GAGGTGACCTTTGACGTTGACGCCAATGGCATTCTGAATGTGTCTGCAGTGGACAAAAGCACTGGCAAAGAGAACAAGATCACCATCACCAATGACAAGGGCCGGCTGAGCAAAGAGGAAATTGAGAAGATGGTGCAGGATGCCGAGAGGTACAAAGCAGACGACGATGCCCAGAGGGAGAAGATCGCTGCCAAGAATGCCCTGGAGTCCTACGCCTTCAACATGAAGAGCAGTGTGGAGGATGAAAACATGAAAGGCAAGATCAGCGAGGAGGACAAGAAGAAGGTTGTTGAGAAATGCAACCAAACCATTGCCTGGCTGGAGAACAACCAGCTGGCAGAGAAGGAGGAGTACGAGCACCAGCTGAAAGAGCTGGAGAAAGTGTGCAACCCCATCATCACCAAGCTGTACCAGGGAGGGATGCCAGGAGGCATGCCAGCAGGAAGCTGTGGTAGCCAAGCACGGGCAGGCTCAGGGAATGCCTCCCAGGGGCCCACCATTGAGGAGGTGGATTAAGAGGACTAGACTGATACTTCCCAAATGGGACGCTCATAACTGTAGTGGATGGGGTGACAGAGCTTCAGTTCAATACAGACCAGTTTCACTAGAATGAGAGAATATGCCTTGTTACTGGTTGGACTGGTACATATAAGTGTTATTTATTACTTCCTGATATACTGTATATATATTAAAATAAAGGCCTGCAGTGGATTTAATGGTGTGGTTTCACTTTTTTTAATGGTGTAGCTTACTGTACATGCTGTTGTAGGGGTAGATAGTATAGAATTCATTCATCTGCAGGTAATTGTGAGCTGAAATGAAGAATATTATAATAACTTTAAGGTTTTACATTTTTAGTGTTCATATACTCTATTGTTCTGAGTTACTTGTTAAACTATGTGAACAGATACTCTTAATGTTTCAGTCTTTCAATTGCAGCTTCTTTATGAAGTGGGAGCATCTGTTTTAATATCATCGGTTCATAAACATTTATACGTTTTTGTCGAGAAGTATTTTTAATAATGGACTGGTAACGAATATATTCATTTCAAGTTACTTTTAATTAGCAGCCCTTCCACAACATTGATGTTTCCTCTGTTCTTCTAAATATTGGGCTGCCATCCACTTGACAAGCTGGCTCTTCTCATATTGCTACAAAACGGAGGGAACGTTTATAGTATGTATAGTAAAATGTTTATTATTAGACTGAGTATAATTTAGCAAGAAACTAATTAAAACCAGAGAGATACAGTAGTAGCAGTTTAATGTCCGCTTGATTACACCTTTCCCTGTCCTCAAAAATCACCCGTAAACATTTGTTTTTCAACCAACGTCCATTATGCTACTTGGGCAGTAAAACAATAATGTAATGAACATTACGGAACAACGTTTCCTAAAATAAAAAAAAATCAAAAGCAAAAAAATAAATCACAGAATTAACGGTGATTCCAATTAAAATCCAGACATGCAGAAGTGTTCACCCTTATCTCCTGAAATAAAAAAAACAACACTCTTTTATAAATGTCATTTATTTAATGCCTCTGCAAATATATTGACGGTGAGGTAACATTTAGATTAAATTATCCGGGTTTGCGGCTAAATATTTAAATTAAAATAGTTCAAAGCATTAGAGTTTTAAAACCGTTAGAGTTGTTGTCCGTGGCGATCGTGTGCAGTAAAAACAGGGGCTGTAGAGCACAGGCAAAATAAAATCATCGTTATTTGCTTTTGAGCACAAGGTACTGACATGTTAACGCTGTAAAATTTTTAACATTTTGACAGCGTGCGTCGTGGTTCAACCACCTTAATTCGCGGAGCGATTTAAGAGGCTCGGATAGGGACGATTAAAAGTGGTCCAAGACAGGACAGCACGCTGTATTCCGCGCATCAGGCGCATCACTGTGCTGTAATAACCCCTTTCAAGGCGCTTGGTATGGAAACCACCAGTTCCGAGCAGAGCACGGGTCGTGAATTGCGTTGCAACAGTAGCGCACACTGACCAAAAGAACCACAGCAGCGAGTTCGGTGAGATTCGGCAACCGGGTCCGGAGCCAGCGCGATTGAGAGCCGGTAAGAGAGGCTTGGTGCCGCTGTCGGATACGGGGAGGGAGACAGGTTTTCAGGAGTGAAGTATTACACATGAACGTACTAAAACCATAAGCTACACCCTGATTGATATACACTGTGGGTTTTTTTTTTATATTCTGAAGACGCCAGAACAGGTGACTGAGCTGGAGGACCAGGGAGCGTGCTGTAGTGTTTACTAAATAAAGCTGCCCTTCAGTCCGGCTTTTAAAGGGGTTGTCCTTCAAGAGTTAACGAGGGCAAATGGAGAACGTCGGGAATTATGTGAAGAAAAAAGCTGCAGAAAGGCAATATAAAGCCGAGGTGATGATAGCCGGAGAGCAGCTCAGGTAAAAATAAATGATCTTTCCCCTTGCATAGTATTGCCGCTTTATTATTTAACAGAAAACCATTGTTTTAGACACGGAAACCAGTCAGCTAGTATTGCTATAGACTTTACCTGATGAGGAATGTAAGTTTTTGCCGATTTTGTGAGCTATGCTCTCTGATTATTGTAGCGAATACATGTTGGGATACCCCTGTTTTTTTAAATAAACCTTATGTAGATACAGCCTAGGAATGAACTCTTTGTCAACAATGTTGTGTGCTCGTACTACAGTATATCTTGTTGCCTAAAGGCACCGTCTGTTCCTAACAAACTTTGCGAAAGTAGTGATCATTAAGTTTTTGCCCATGTAATACGAACATAAGGGAGCAGCTGTACCTACTGTAAGAACACCACCTTGCTTTTGAAGCGCACATCTCCCGTAAAAGATCAAAGATTTTTACCCTCAGCGACCCTACTAGTCGCAAACTACAGCTCTTGCGCATTTTCAGTATTGCGCTAAGACACGTCCAACAGCATCGATATTGTGACCGGGACATGCTTAATTAAGAGCAGAAATAAGCATTAAATATTATGTTCTGACTATTCACTGTTTCGCCGAAAGTATACGGCCAGAAAATGTGCTCTGTGAATACTTCTGCAGTTCACTTGTTCACTTATTCACTCGTTGCTCTCCTGCATGCCTTTTAACAGTCTAACCAACTGTGCCCAAGGCTTCTAAACTGCTTTTACTGCACAACAACGCATGCTATTTGTGAAACATGTGGCTCTATGCCGGTGATGTCGCCTGAACTAGCAGTGTCCCATTTTAATTAAAAAAATGTGTTTAAAATTTGTTAAACTGATAAAATATTGCATATGTTTTATGGTTTGGTAGACAAAATAGACAGTTGCATAAATGGCTTTAATTAAAAATGACATTTGATTTTTAAATATCCCATTGGGTGGCTCTTCTCTGTGTTAAACATTACACACACTTATATCTTTTACAATTCTCATATATATATATGTTTGTCTAGTGAGAAAATAAGGACCTGAAGGAGAGGGAAACAATGTTCATAGTGTATCCAGTACATAGGTGGTAAAGGTGTTTGAAGGAATGAAGGAATTCTGTGTTGGCAGCATCAGTCAGACATTATCCCACATTCCCCCCTGTTTCACAACTATTCTTCTTTTCTCCTTCTGCTCTGTCCCAGGCTCCGGCTGCATGATGGCAAGCTTATCAAAGACAGGCGGTGCTACCTGCGCACCTACCCCAACTGCTTTGTTGCCAAGGAAGCCATCGACTGGCTCATAGCTCACAAGGAAGCTCCTGACCGGGAGACAGCTGTCCGCCTCATGCAGCATCTAATGGCCCATGACATTGTGCACCACGGTACAGTGCTTTCAGTGCAATAACATGCGCCTGTCCAGCCTTTTTACTGCACAGTGAAGCTTCCACATCACAGGACGTAAAGTACTGTATTCTCCTTTCACCACAGACAGTTGCCTTACAGACATGTCCTTTATTGCTTTCTTGTTTCACTTGTTTTGGCTCGTTTGTCAATCTTTCATCGTTTCAAAGGGTCCATACCCGACACCCACGAGACCCCGAAGATGAGTGTGTGAAGCACACTGCCCGGCCACGTTGTTGAAGCAAATTTCAACCAGCACCTATACCACCCTGCAACTCACAATTGGCTACCCACTGAAGCTCAGTAGGTGTGAGCCTGGCCAGTACCTGGTTGGGATACCTCATAGGAAAGCTAAGGCTGCTGCTGGAAGAGGTGTAAGGGGGGCCTGTAGGGGGTGCTCACCCTGCAGTCTGTGTGGGTCCTAATGCCCCAGTATAGTGACGGGGACACTGTACTGTAAAAAGGCGCCATTCTTAGGGAGAGACATAAAACCGAGGTCCTAACTCTCTGTGGTCATTAAAAATCCCAGGGTGTTTCTCAAAAAGAGTAGGGGTGTTTCCCTGGTATCCTGGCCAAGTATCCTCCTGGCCTTGACCAATCATGGCCTCCCCATCTCTGAACTGGCTTCATGATTCTGCGCTCCCTCCCAGTGATAGGCGGTGTGTGGGGAGCGTACTGGTGCACTATGGCTGTCGTAGCATCATCCAGGTGGGGGCTGCACATTGGTCGTGGTGGAGGAGAGTCCCCTTTACTTCTAAAACACTTTGAGTGGAGAGTCCAGTAAAGAGCTACAGTATATAAGTGTAAGGGTTTGGTATTACATTTCCAAGCAGCAGCCAAATGAGATCTTCGGATCAATGAGCCGCTACCAATCAAATGAGCGACTGGGCCAAACAGCCTCCTCTAGTTTCTAACTGTGTTTTCTTACCAGCTTTCTTTTTCTGCCTGTCTTTGTTTCAAGGCCAGATCAGAGCTCGGACTGGAGTTTTCCAGACACACAAGATTGGTGCGTTCTTTCTGCGTTGCACCCTCGTTCACTATGTTGGGGTTGCTCAAAGGTGTGTGAGGTGAGCCTCCCCTCAGACACCTTTAAGGCACAGGGGTTATACTCGGGAAGAAAGGCGCAGTGGTTCCTCAGCTTCTCAGCTGCGGCCCAGCTTGCCAGCTGACCTGCTGTGTGTCAGTCTTGAGCAAGTGTCTTCACATCCTTGCGCTTTGTTCTCTGCGTGAAACGCGTGTGTCTCGGCTCTTATTCCTCCTCAGGGTTTCCCAATTCCTACTTGACTTGTTTTCCAAGAGTTTCAGTGGTGCCCCCTAAATAATTCCCAGAGCCAGCAGGGAGTGGTGGGACATTTTTGTCACGATTGGAGTCCCTCCTCCTTAAGGGCGCTCCGGCTCTTTTCACCTAATTTTGTGCACCCGCCTCTTGTTCCAGCTTCCTTCCTGTCCCCCTTAAAAGCCAGACACTCGGTCAGTTCGGGGCTCTGCATCTGATTCCCATATCATGCGAGCCCGGGTCCTGATGCGTCTGGTTCCGTCATGTCTTTAAGTCTCTGTTCCTGTACCCCCTGCCGGTTCCGACCCGGTTCCTGGTTTTAACCCGCCTGTTACTGATGGAACGCCTGGCTTTGGACTTTGCCCGTTTTTGGGATTCCCCGTCTGGATTACCTTTGGATTGTTTGCCTCGGCCACATCTCCCCTGTGCACCAGCGCACCATGGACACGCCCCCCTGTCCTCATTCCCTGTCTCCTGCATGACTTTTCTCCCCAGTGTTTTCTCACTTTTCCCCGGATTGTGTCGTCCGCATAGGGTCCGGAAAGAACTGTTCCTTTACAATTTTAAATGCTGTGTAAGGCTATCGAGATATTAGAGTGAAAGATTAAGTGCTGGTAGGACTGAACATCTGGATGTCAAAATCTCAGGGCTATGGGAATCTAACTGTCTGAGCAGAACAAAGTAGTCATGAGAATTATTACAGACAGGAAACATAAGATATGAAATAACCCCAAAATACATGATTCATGATTTTAACATTTAAAACATCAACTTATACATTTTAATAATAACATAATTATTACATTATAATATTAATTAATTATTCAAAAAGCTAGGTTGACCATGTAGACAAAACAGCAGCTGTGCCCTGCTTTATGATGAATAGCAGGTTGATCAATGTCCGTCTCTTTAATGTAAAACATATATTCTGTACTGTATTTTAGTCTTTTGCTTCCTTTGCATTTACACTTAATGTAAAACTTGGAAAAAGGTGCATTCTGAGCTAGTAGTGGTAGTAACAATAATTATACTACTGCGCTACTGCTGCTACTACTAACTGCTACTACTAATAAGGAGATAGAAGATAGATAAAAGACATCAAATGCAATTTATAATATAGTAGCTGCAGCTATTACATCTCATCTTTAATGTTATTTTTCACACTGGACCCCAGCTAAACAGCGACGTAATGTTGTATTTCAAGTGCTTTTCCTCAGGAGAGGCTGAACGAGAGGGGAGGCTCTGGAGGAGATGTACTTGTATCATTGCTGCACTCATGCAGCACAAGGTCATGGACAACACGTAGAAAGACAATCAGGGCATAAGAGCACAATAAAACGAATCCAATCTACTTGTCTCATACTACCACACTTTCAGCTCCCCTTCCAAAATCTAATTTGTATATATAAGGATTATATTTATACATCTTGTATGATATTTATGCGTCATAGTATAATGATGTCCTGACTTATGAAAATGAAAATATATCACATTTAATAATTATTGTATATGCTATGCATATACTGTATTTTGATGCTAATGCATAATAAATCTGTTTATTTAATTAAGACATTTCTTAACTAAAAACTACAGTAGCTCATGTTTAGTGACAAATTCTTTTTTTTTTCTTGCACATTCGAAGCTTCATTCTCTGTTTTCTATTATTTAGTCTCGCTTCGTGTTGGCACAACACACATTGCACAAGGCACATTCTCCCCCTAAGAGCTGTTTGGCCCAGCGCAGTATAAATAAGATACCGTGCTTGGCCAGTATCTGCAGCTCAGCCACACCTGGAAAATAAGCAATTAATTCAGCCTGTTCAGGCCTCAGACACTTGCTTTTTTTTCTCCCACTCAGGAGTGAAACTGCTGCCACAGTTTAAAAGAATGCGCTGCTCCGTATCTTTCTGGTTGATTTAGGGAAACTGCAATTAGATTTTTTTATAAGAACTGGCATCACTTAAAGCCACTTCTTCACAGTGTTTTGTTCATTCTCAGTGTGTATTTAGTTATAAGGAGGCTCTAAAAAAGCTCCCTTGACTGATCTTTTTCTCTGGCTGGTGCACTAATTGCTGCTCTCCCCCACATAGTGGATTTCTATGATCGCAGGGCCCTGTCTGTCCTCTGACGGTGTTTTTGTCCTCTTCTCCACACAGTGTGTGACAGGCATTCTGAATACAAGGATGCTAAGCTGTTGTACCGCTTTCGCAAAGATGACGGGACCTCTCCTTTCAACACGGAGGTGAAGGTGTTCATGAGAGGACAGAGCCTTTACGAGCGGTAAAAGTCCATTTACACTTCTTTGGAATTTCTGCACAGCTGCCTTTGATCTCCATGTCCGCTCACAGCTACACACCGTTGTTCAGTATGACCTGGGGATGCTTTCCTGGCTGGGATGAACAAGAGACACAGACGCTACCAAGTGAAACAAGAGCTGTGTATTGTATTGGGCGGGAAAGCCAAGCAGCCGACTTGAATAAATTGGGATTTTTAATAAGGGATGTGGGATATCAATGGTTAGCCTAGTGACATGGTGGTTGATGTTGCTGATTCACTGCTCTGGGGTCCTGGGCTCAGTTCCATACTAGGCACCTTATGTGAAGTTGCATGTTTTCATGGTAACACAAAATTGGGAGGAACTATCCATCAAAATAGCCCAAAATAGCCCCCTTTTGTGGTGCCTCCATCTATGATATTACTTCTGAAAATGTTATAAAAATCACAGTCTGCCCCACTCTTCCTCATGTTCATCTACTCTGCTTTCGCAGCTGCCCCTTGGCTAAAATCAGTCCGCATGGTGGTCCTAACTTTCCTGTCATGTGGGTTAAGCCAAAACTCTTTATGCCTAATTTAATCAATAAATATTCTTAACATGTTTTCTGATTGGGTGTCATTATTCCTCATGAACCTGTGAATGTGTTCGGTTCTTGATTCCTTCAAGTTGTGTGTGTGTGTGGGGAGAGGCCTATGTCAGAGGATCCACTGAGAAATAAGCTGCTATATATTTGTTCCCAGATCAGTGAAATTGATTTTGAAACCTTTTGCTTCAGTGGAAAAAAAATTCAAACTTCCAATAAACTCTAGCTTAGACCTAATCATAGACAACTGATTTTTTTTGTTAAAAATATAGATTTCATTTTCTCCTGCTTTAAGAGACATACTTTAAGAGGCCAGGGAGGTGTTGAAAAACACCTTGTGTGTTCACCTCAGGAATTCGCACTCTTGTGCTTACGATTAATGGAGCTGAACAGGTGGAGAGGAGATTCTGAACAGCTGAAGTGCCTCAGAATTTCCAGGGCTCATGAGTAAATATTTAAGACTTCCAAGGGCAGCTTACAAAGTGTGTGTTGTTCCAAAACAGAGCCCATTCCTCCCAAATTATATTTCTGTGAAACATATTTGAGCTTTCTGCTTTTCAAGCCTATGGTTTTTTGAGCTTGACTTTCATTGCATACGTCTGGAAATACTGTAACCTCCAGCAAATTGGAAGTTCGGCCTTCTATGGAGCACAAAGTGCCCTGAGATGCTTTACCTGTGGTGTGTCTAATCCCACCAGCCTGGTCGCAGGCAAGGACTCCATCATGAAGGAGCACGAGGAGAAAGGGGTGAAGTATCAGAGGGCCTTTCCTGGCTTTGAGATGATCGACTGGCTGCTGCACAACGGAGAGATCCCCAACAGGAGGGAGGGTGTGGATCTGTGCCGCACCCTGCTGGACCACGGCATCGTTCAGCACGGTAAGCTGGCAGCCCAGGGCCAGAGCAGCAGGGTGGCAGAAGACGAGGCCCGTTTCAAAAGGCAAAGACTTGTTTGTTATCCGTCCTAAAGCAGTCTGTCAGGTCTTAGTCATTCTCATTCATGTGTCCTGTGAGATTTGTCTGGGACCGGGCTCAAAAAACAAGAGGCATCTCTTCAGTTTGTCTCCCTTGATCAGCCAACGGCAGTGTAGCGATCCCAAAATGAACGATCCGAAAGAAACAGTGCAGTTCCGGCCTGCGCCAAGTCCCTTTCTTCCTGAGGCCTGGGAGTCAGTTCTGCGCTGCCCCCTGTTTCCCTACAGTGGCCCTCAGGCACCACTTCTTTGACAGCGGCCTGCTGTACCAGTTCTGCATCAACTTCCGCCGCCGCCGCCGCCTGGCGGAGCTGCTGAGCGAGAGCGAGAACCGGGGGGCGCCGCTGGGGCAGGAGGAGGCTTCGGACAGCCCCTTCACCCTCCGCAAGACTGCCCCCGAGGAGGGCAACACCAGCTTCCTGTCAGGTCAGCGCGTCCGCCTGCTCACGCCCACTTCATTCGGGCTGCCCGAAGACTCACAGGCTATTAGGCCACAAAATGTGTTACTTTGGAAAGGGGGTGTAGGCCTTCTATAAGCACTGTACCTACCTGGGCATCATGGGCCTCCTCCTTAACATGCACAGCTTATAAGGGCTAAAAAAGTTGCATTGTGAAAGCTGTGCACAGAGAAGCCATGACAGTATACTGTACCATAGGCCTGTGGAGGATCTCTTTCTGCGTTTAACACAAGTGGGCACCGACCCTCATCGTACCATTGCAGGTGGTGCTTAGGAGCTGTCATAGACCAAAAAAGCCATCATGCAGTGACTGTGTGCTGTACACTATATTCCTCGTGTGAACATGACAGGTGCTTGAGGCATTACAGACATGGGATCTGTAAGTGAAAGAATAACATGAGGGGATTGTGAGTTTGAGTGTGTATTGCCTTCATTTATAGGAACTAAGCCACTAACTGTGTAACTATTCCACTCTCCCAAGGGAAATGGGTGCTGAAGAGTGTGTCTCTGTTCCTCCACACAGTTCAGCCCAATAAGGAGATCAAACTGGTGTCAGCAGTGCGCAGAAGCAGCACGACCTCACTGTCAGGAGGAGCAGGTGGCTACTTTTCCATCCCTCCCAGCTTCAACAACGCAGCTCCGGTGAAGTGCAATCCTAAATCAGGTCAGCACTGATTACTCTCTTATTACGAGATTGATGGTTACTAGATTCTTGTTTCTCTTCTCTACAGATAACGTACCATCCGCTGTTTGGTGTTTTCTTTGTGAAACAGCACTGCTACTTGAGAAGACATTGTAGATTCTTTTAGTGTCATAATGGATGAACCTGGGAGGCATGATGGCACAGTGTTTAGCATTGCTGCCTCTCAGTGCTGAGGCCCTGGGTTTAATTCCTGGCGTGCTATCTGTGTGGAGTCTGCATGTTCTCCCCAGGTTTGTGAGGGGTTTCCTCTGGGTGCTCTGGTTTCCTGCCATAGTCCAAAGACAGGCTGGTAGGTTAATTGGCTCCTGGTGTGAGTGTGTGCGTGTCTGTCTTTCTGACTGTGGGTGCTCTGTAATAGACTGGTGTCAGGTCCAGGTTCTATCCTGTCTTGTACTTATTGCTTACTGGGACAGGCTCCGGCACCTCCACGACCCTGCACTGGGTAAAGTGGTTAGAAAATAGGTGGATACCCATTGAATTGGATAAAATACAGACTGGTGACACGGAACTGGTTTCTGACAGCCTAGATCAATCACGAACACCTCAGGTTTAGATTAACTTTATACTACAGATGTGGAAACAACAATGATCAGGATGATGACTTGTCAGACGGAAGAAAAACCTGAAATATGTTTTTCTTTTCATCCCATACAAGACCTGCAGTACAGTATATACTTATAACTAAAATAAGTATTTCTTATATGCATTGGTTACTTAGGAAATTCTCTCAGTAGTAAGAAAACTTTCTCTTTCTAGTGCTGAAGAAAAAGGTAACAATAGAGGAGTTAATGGACGCTGGAGCTCCTTACATGAGGAAGAGTATCACAGTGAGTAGTGTGAGATATTGACAGTAATGCCTTCTATTTGAAATGCTTTCCAAGTACTGTACTGTATATATACTTTTGGTTTCTGAAAATGTCTACACCTGGGAGTATAATCCCTGTGCTCCTCATTACCGGGTAACAGCTAACCTGAGATGATGATGATTATTATTATTATTAACATTATGGTTATATACTGTTCTAATTGGAACATCCTCTCCAGCAGAAAAGACCTAGTTTTTTCTGTGGATGACCTATCTGTGCTTAAATGTTCTTTCACATTTCATCTTACTGCATACCACAAGACATTTATTATGTACAGTTTCACTGTATGCCTGCCATTTTAGGATTCTGATGTTGGGTACAGTGTACATGACTGTTCCTGGGAACAGAACATTACCTGTATATATTGGGCTGAGTAGGTACTTTTTACCCATCTACATGTCATCTTGAACGATGTAATTATTCAGGCAAGGTGTTCAGTGGGCTCTGCGTTTAAAAGGTCCTGTCGAATCGTGTTTTGCCTGATTTATATATTGTTCATGAAGCTGTCAAAGCACCATTCAGAACACTTTCTGCAAAACCAATCTTCACCTGCCGTTGCTTAGCAACAAGGTAGTTTGAAAGGTGATAAAACATTCTTTAATGCAGCAGGAGCCATGAACACATTTCATTCTAATAAACGTGTGGCATCCTAGGATTAACACCCAGAATGTAAATAGGATCATTCAAGCCCTGGAAAGACTGCTGGTAACGAAATAGCAGTTTTGGTTTTCTTCAGTTTCATTGGGTCTCACATCTTAAAGAAGCCACATTGAAAAGCTCTTAAATTCACTTGAGCAGCGCTGAACCAGGTGTCTGTCCTGCCTTAGTCTCCTTTGTCACCTATTTTGGTTGCAACCAATTTCTAATAATTCAGGGACCAGCTGAGAGCCACTCTCTTCCTTTTTGTTTCTGCTTTCACAACTAAGTCATTGTAACTGCTGTGCACTAAGCGTCTGGCTTCAGAAAATCTGTGCTGTAGCTGTGTAGTTGCCAGGCCAGTTAGCAAACACCATCTGTCCAGTTTGTCTTCCCCTTGTTTAACAAAGTGTTGCTCCACGGTAGCTGTCAACAAGTGACAGGCAGCCCAAACTTCAAAAAGTTAATTGGCAAATCCTCTGACCCAGTGACTTTTGTCACCACATGCAGGCATTGGTCTGGCATTTGCCTGAGGACCAGGGGGCAGAGTGCTGCTTGCTGGCCCATCAGTACCACTTACAGCAGCACCTCAATCAGCAGAATCCACTCGGTCAAGCACTGGACCTTGCTTGTCTTCTGATTTCTGGCAATGATGTGTAACAGTGTGGTTGTATCTCGACATGGAGAATAGTTATTCAGTGTACAGGAGGTCAGCTGTGTCTTCAGCAGCTCAGTTCAGTGTCCACCAGTTTGGCGCCCAGAAACAGATTGCACTCTTGCTCAGAGAGGTGCGTGTCTTTGAAGATTGTAGGAGACGCAGTCGGCTGGGGCTTTGTGGTCCGAGGGGAGAGTCCCTGTCACGTCCAGGCTGTGGACCCTGGAAGTCCTGCAGCTGCTGCAGGGATAAAGGTAATCCTTCCCCATCCAGAATTTTGGGGTGCCAGGGGAATATCTGGGGGGAAGTCCCAAAAACACCTGACTGTGAAACAGGCAGAGCCGAATCCACTCTAACTCATACTTGTTCCTGATCAACACTGGTGCTGAAATGTTTTAATTCCTTGGCAAAGAGGAAGCAGACAATGCTAAATTGGTAACTGCAATAACCAGCTAGGAGCCAGTCTCTTGTGTTTTAAAATGCCCTGCTCACAATAATCTGGGGATATTTTTCTCTACACTTGCTGGTGTAGAGAACTTACAGTTGAATCCAGGTAGACAATGCAACAATACAGCTCATACTCTTCGCAATCTTCTCTGCACAACCTTCGGTTACTAGAGTCTACAGTACGTGTAAGGCTGTTTGAATTGTCACTATTATAATCCTGCAGGTGCTTTATCATAAAACTGAGCAAAGACCGGGTAAGAAAGGCAGGGAGGGCAGAATGGGCTCTGTTTTATAACTTTTTCATATGATCCTGTGTGCCTTAACCAGTGTATTGTGTTTCTATATCTGATCCCCAGGCTGGGCAGTTTGTGTTCCAGGTCAATGGAGTGTGTGTCCTCGACCTGGACTACAAGACCCTCAGTAGGCTCATCATGACTGGCCCTCGCATCTTGGTTGTAGAAGTGATGGAATCTCTGGAGTGAAGCAGCACTTTAGACAGGTGGTGACTCCGTGATGAAGCCTGTGTGCACCAGGTGGACTGTATATACAGTATACTGGCCATTTCATCAAGAGAGTGTTGTCTTCTGACTCTGGCTGCTACCTCTTCAAATCCCTAAGGGAGCTGGACGTTCAAGCGAAATTTTCAAGAATTAATGAACTCATGATCTGATTGTTAGTAGGAACTGCACGGGCCTCTGTGACATTTTCACACTCTTTAAATATAAATCAGGAATCTCCGATTGATTTTCGATTTTATACCACACAGTTTCGAAATAATCACAAAACGCTTAATTTGAACCTGGGGGTTATTAGTAGTTTCTTTTTTTTATGTTCCCCAGTTTGGAATTGTGAATCGTTTATCAGCTTGAGCCACTACTCTCACGGCAGAACAGGAGAGATATAATATCTATACAGATCCTGCAAAACGTGCTCTACCAGGCTCTTCTCCTTATTAAAAAAGTGCAAGGAGTGAAACTGAGGCGACAGTAGATCCTGAATCAGCCACATGGGGTCGCTGTTGGGCAAATGAACTCATCCCTAATAGCACTCATGAGCTTCGAAGTGGTGATCTCCTTAGAGCACGTCCTGTGGTCCACGCCGATGCCTTTACAAGATGTTTTTTGTGTGAAAAAATATTCTTTTACAGCTCTTGTTACCAACTCGGCAGTTTTCTCCCATGCCTTTATAAAGATGAAGCTCTGGAGAGTACAAACTAGCATGCTTTTATTGGTCTGTCATATTCAAAGAATAAAGATAAGATCACCTTATTGGCCATATACAATTTCTTGTAGTAGGAATTTGTCTTTTTGCATACCCCAACTTACTCTCCATGAGACACATGGGCAGGGAGTGAGAAGCTTGGGGTCAGAACACAGGGTCAGCCATTTATACGGCACCCCTGGAGCAGTTAGGGTTAAGGGCACAGAGGAGTAGGATTCCTCTGCCAGCTGCAGGATATGAACCAGCAACCTTCCAGCCACAGGCGCAGATCCTTAGCCACAGAGCCACAGAGCCACCGCTCTGCCCCAGGGATAGGTTGGACAAATCTTTTGAAGTTTATTATATCCGTGAAAAACACAGATAAATCACCTTGTTCGGTAAAAAAAACTATCTGACAATATGGCAATGTGGATGATTTGTTGAGGGTTTTGTGTGCAAGAGACTCAAGAGATGAATTGCAGACACGCTACCAGTACCCGATCCGTACAGCCCAAATGTGAGACACACACAGCAGCTTCCTGTGGTACGAGGGCTGAATGATCTAACCTGAGAATGATGTCATAGCTTCTGTCTCTGATCACATTGTGAAGTCGTGTTACACTGTTCTCAAGTGATCGGCATGTGGGTACAGATATAAGACTGATTTACTGCAGCTTTTTATCTCTTCCTTAAACTGTTCTCGATTTAGGGAGTGATGAACTGCCTCAGGCTGGAAAACAGGAAGCATAATTTCAGTACAAGAAATAGCCCCTCTGCAATCAGATTCTCATGATATGATCAGAGATTAAGCTCATTTAAGATACACAGTTAAACTTCACATAAGATTATTACATAATCGCCTCTAATCTTATTTCTGTAATGAAATTGTATACACAGCGTTTTACCTAACGCAATTTATGATCTGTGATTCTAAACAGTGATTGAATCCCTTCTGTTTTTGGGATGCTTCTGAAAACCAGATGTTGATCTCGTGAGATGATCCTGATAGAAATAAATATCCAATCGTACAATGTATGGAGAATTCAGGTTGAGCTGTAACATTTTCACAAAATGAAGTCTATTAAAATTTGCCTTCAGACACATTCCAGGTCAAGTGTTATCTTTGCATATTGGTGTTACTGGTTTTCACAAATGTACAAAAATGCATCGGTTCTGACACATTAACAAGTGAAACTGTTGCTTTGCGTCTGCTGACAGCTACTTATTTTAACTTACATAGAATGAATTAACCCCTGTAACAAGAAAAACTCATCAACCTTGAAAGGGCAAACTGGGACTAAGTCCTAAATTGCTTACTTATGAGCCCCTTCATTACATTTCCTTTCTAAGGACTATGAACCACAAATGTATCGCTTAAAGGCTCCATTGTTAGAGTGCCGTCATGACCATTTCAAAATAATTGTAATAATGCATTATTAAATATATAAATAATGATAAGTATTAGTAATATAAGTGCTAATATTGCTTAATAAAACGTATCCTGGAGAAATATACCAAAAGACAAGCAAGTTGTTTCCCGTTATCATGAAATAGCATACTTGTTAGAAACCTTGTCAACAATAGATTTCAAAATCGCTAGAAGTTAAATGCTTCCCATAATTAAACTATAATAAAGCTAAAACGATAATAAAAGCTAAAACTACCTGAAACTACCTGTGTCTTCACGGTGTCACGGCAAAAATCTGCATGAGGGTTTCATTGCGCATAAAACAGTAAACTTGTCTTCAGGGCATGGAGCACTCAGACATACGGCGATAATCGCCTACAGGCGTTTTGCGTGAATTTTATAATCACAGGCCAGATAAAGGGTCAGCCTTCTAAGGGAAGTAGACAATCACAGATAAATTGTAGAAAAGACCAGAAAAAAACACGTTGCTGGCAGTTATTGATGCTCGCAAATTGACACATTTTGCTTGGGAGAATATAAAGTCCTCCCAAAAATACTCCGCCCATGTGCGAATTTAAGAATATGCGTCTTTCTTCCTTCGCCCACGTTACTGCCTGTACAGTAGGGTGTCGAATATCAAGTTAATACACACCGATAGAAACTCGCTCGCTGCGAAGCGTCGCAGGCGTTGTATCATGACAGCGTTGCAATGCACTGATGGTACCCCAGTGAAGGAAATACACTAAAAAGAGACGCTCACCTTCAGGTTGGTGGACTTTACTTAATTTCACTGTGGAGTTGTTGTTTTTTTTTGTTTATTTTTTGTGCCTTTTTCCAGCATGATTCCGAAGAAGAAAAAGTAGCCTCTAAAGAATACACGGTCATTTCAGAACAGAGACCATGTACTGCAGCTCCAGTGAATGTACAGAAAAACAAAAACTACCGATATCAGCTAGAAAAAGGAACAAAGTTGGTTTGCTTTTAATACGTTTTCATGCCAGCGAAAGCTTTCTTCTTTGCATAGCGTGTATAGTTTAAGATGAGTAATAGTTGGTGAGATTTTGAGTCCTCACCCTCCGATTAATTTCCACAGGTAGGAACTTGGGAGTTGTGGGTTAGGTAACTGCACCGTACTTCGGGTCGTCATGGTTTTTGGACATACGCCCTTGGTAAACAGCGCACCTCCAACTTTTCCTTTTCTTTTAAAATACTTTTTTTAAAATAAATTGTCGTCATTTTTATATTTACATTAGTTATTAAAATAGAGTACCATGTAGGCTCTGTGAATCTGCAGTATGTCTATGGGCAAAAACGGATTTTCTGTACAATATATTCGGCCAACTACTGAACTGTATATAGAAAATAACATCACTGTTCTGTATTTCTGTGGTTTTTGTACGTGGTCTCATTTTTTTTAAATCTAGTACAATGGTAAATATTATGAAAACGACCAACAATTTCAACTACTTTTTGATAATTTAAGCTGCATTATTATTAGTATTACTAATAAAAGTAATGATGGAAGTAGTTTTTAAGGTTACTTCTAAACATGGTTTTAAACACCGTACAAAAACAGATATTCACCATTTGCAAAAAAACAATGATATAATGGGTACCACATCAAAAAATGCTTTCTTTTTTTAGTATACGGAAGTATGCAGTGACCAACTTTTAATTAAAAAATGTTTCTTTCTGGCTTTGAATTAAGAGCAACAACAACAAAAAAAGATGAAGACAAACCAGAATTGGACATACTTGTAAATAAAATGGTCGTTTGCTTTTCAACCGATCAGATCCAGATAAGTCAATGAATTTCATTGCTATATCATTGCATGTGTTCATTTCAACATCAACATCTGTTGAAATTAGAAAAGAAACATTTCAATGGCATGGATTTTAGAATCTTCTTTTGTGCTCAATTAAAAATAAACCTCATCTTACATAAGAGATAACCAAGACAGCCTTTATCCCGAGTGCTTTCAAAATGCTGCGTAGTAAATAATTCTCAAGTAACATTTTTTGGTGTCTGGTAATGAATCCATGGCAACCCAGTGAGAAAAAAAAAGTTTAATTGCGTTGCAGTTTGCATTGGCTCTCTGACTCCCATTCTAAAACATCTTCATTGGCTCTCAATAACATTTCCAAAGTAACCCAGAGAAGATGTGATGCTACACTGATGTCTCTCGGCAGTGATTCATTAATTGCTGATGTCCACAACAATGCACTTGCATGTACTGTATATTACAGGGAAAGTTATTAAGTGGTGACTAGATTCGCCAACACTACAGCTTGAGATCTCATGTAACCAAAGTGGACGCCTGAATCATCAGCAGAATCTCAGAATGACATTGTAGAATCACTGTTCTCATTCAGCCTTCAGTGTTTTATGTATTGCAGAGGCAGGTGGGATGATAACTCCACCTTTTCAGTTGATCCCACTGGAGGTCCTATTGTTCGTACCATTGCTGATCCACTATTTCAAACTGCCCAGTGTCGATGTCCTTGCTACTCGCTAAATGCCCAAACTCCGTCATGCCTTTTACATCTCCTCAGGGAGAAGACTGTCATTGTGGATAAACTGTGGTCATGGAGTTATGGATCTCTTCACTCAAGATTAGACAGATTTCTTCCCCTCAAGGAACAGTTACTTGCCTTAATGATATCTTTGGCACATCCTTTAGAGGAGCAGTGACACATCTGTTTGGAATGGGATAATGAACCACAATAGTGCTCTCTCTGTCAGTGGAATTCACTGTGATCCTGGCTGCCTGCTCATGGGCTGCTTGGGTTCTTGCGATGACAAGCACAGACACGAAGCTCTTTCCTAGTCACCTCCCTTCTCTGTGCAGCTGAGAGAGGAGTAGATTATTGTACCACAGGTGAGGGGGCTGCCTGTCAAGCCCTGCCGGCAGAATCAGTGATTTTGGAAACCACTGGGCATCTGAGAGAAAAATGACATTTGTATCTGATGACACCACTGATATAATATGACTTGTCCATGGAGCTAGGGTCATATGTACAGTAGAGGTGATGGAGACTGGTCCGCTTTTGATCAAAATGTAAATATCTATACATTCAAGTGACAGTTTCCATGGGTTTTATAATCCTAACATGATAAATATGATCAATATTTCAGAACGTGATAAATATGATCACACATTTGTCTGCAAAACTGCAGTCAGCCCTGGATCTAGTGACAGAAATCACATTAACATCCTGTGTGGCTTCTGGTCCTGTCTCTGCCATCACTTAAGAACCAGCAGTATTTACCTCCTGCAGACAGAGCATAAGCAAGTAAGTTGTTTTACTGCTGTCTGTCAGCAAAGATAATCCTCATTGTATTTCTCAGAGAAAGTAATGAATTAAAAATAATAATGATCAAATCAATCGTTAATTGTTGATAATTAATTTTCAATAAAATGTGTAAATAATAATTATATTATTGATTACAAAACCTTTATAATATTTGGTAAATGTCATAAAGGATCCTATCGCAGAAGTGGGAACTGATGCAGATATCACACTTTTTGCGTTGTGTTGCCATGCTGACCTGGATTTAAGATCCACCTTCAGATGATCAGAAGTGAATTCTCACCGAGCTTCAGTTTTACCACACATTTGTGCTTTCAGTCTTTAGGGTTATTCTAATATTTCTTCTGAACTGTGTTTAAAATCACTTTGCACGTTGAGCATTTATCTGCATGTATCACAAGCTCCTATCTTGGATTTCAGACACTGCTGGATTAATTCAGGCTCAGGGTCCCCAGGGTGATGGAAACATTCCAGCATGGATTGTGCAAGGGGATTTCTGAGGTTTTCAACTTCCGACAATAATAATAATTCAATGTCTAATTAAGGATAAATAGCTCTTAAAGGCAGGATAACAAAAGACCTCCCCCTTTATATGATATGTACTGTAATTTTCAGAACCCTTCACTGTCAAGGTCTCCTGAAATAATGTGTCTGGAAATAAAGAAACTTTGGACTGAAGTCCTTTTAAAAACACCACCAATCCTTTCTTACGTGCTACAGTACAAGTGGACAGTCACACCGGAACAGCAGTCAGAGTACAGTTACAAGGGTTTTGTCTTATCAGCATGAGCATGTCCTGACTTTAATAGAAAGCACTTTTAAAATGAATAAAAACCTGTTTAAAAGAGCAGACTGCAGGTAATTAATATTATTGCCCATAGAGCATTAATTCTGCATAGTCAAAGCTCAGACTATCTGTCTGACTTCCAAACTGCCCGGATCTACAGTATACTATCAAATCTTACCTAAAATAATCTGGTCACACCTTCTTTAAAGTATTTTGTACAATGCACATCACCTTCACCAAGAGGTACTTAAATAACATTAATAACTGTTTGTGACAATTGCTCAAAAGGACACTAAATGTACAAAACTATTAATAATACTTACAATTTGTCAAAGTTAAGATCATAGCATGTGTTGGATCAATATGAATGCTAATGTACCAGCTGCCTTATGAATGTTATTGTAGACTGTTGATGGTAACTTCTATAAACGTGATACGCTGTCTACCTACAGTACCTATACCTGCTGCTCAGGTATAGATCACAATGTTCCCTAGACCCTGTGGGCTTTAAATTTGCCAAAGCTATTATTTTGGTTAGCCAGTGTAGGTGTGAAAGATTCATTTACAAAAGATTTCTACTTAGTTTGTCCACTCGTGAGCCTGATTTTGGCGAACTGTTGAGAAGGTTTGGAAACAGGACCCTTACGAGAAATGTCTCTTGTTAAAGGTGAGGATGTCTGTCTCTGAGCTCATGTTCCATCTTGTTGCACCTTGTTGTGAACCCATAACACAATGACTACAAACAGGTGTTGTAGAATCACCCCCTATACAGCTTGTAATTAAGTTTAATGCCTCTACTAATTACAAGTATTAGGAGCATTCCTTCTGCGTTTTTATAGTGCCTGCTATAGAGTTTGAGGTATCGAACAGCTCCCGGCCCATTAGCTTAAAGTACCAGATTTTTCAGCTGCTTGAAATTTCTCAGGGGTTTCCCCTTAGAGAAACTACAGTAAGTGTAAACGAGCTGCAGTATAGCTACAATGCTTCCTAACAAGTGGAAGGAAATTAAAGGGAAGATAATACAACAATCGAACCCAGGCTCCTGGAGGTGGGAGGCTGCAGTGCTATCCACCTTGACATCCTAGAGAGAAAAAAGAGCAAAAATCCCAAAGTAAACATAAAAATAAAAGTAAAAATTATGACAATGCGTAAATGTATGTGTTCCGAACTGGGGTTTGTATGATTTGTTCTCTTAAAAACACAGTATGCTGGAAGGTCTTATCGTTATTGTGAAGCATCTGTCCCGGCCTCTTTATTTCAGAGTACAAAGTGGATATCTTTCGCCGGCTGGCCTTCCTTTCTGGCACTAACTCACCAGTGCTTGCCATTTTTAAGATGCAACACACAGAGCTTGTTTCAAATCCATTCAAAATACATTATTCATGCCCAAGGGGGCAATTTAAGTGGGGAATTTTGCCATGATCTAAAAACCCTTCCAAGGTGTCCTGCAAATGTGAAATGGGTTTATAGCCAATTCCATACATCTATGTTCTAACCACTCTATCTAGTACAGGGGCCTGGGGGAGCCTATCTCTGAAGACAACAGGCGCAAGGCAGGATACATCTTGGACAGGATGCCAGTCCCTTGCATGAGCTGAATTAAAATGTGATCTTTGAGCAAAGTGGAGTAAAATATGAGCTATGTGCCAGTCCTGATTTTCTGCTTTTCCCCTCACAGGCCTACCGGAGTGCACCTTCCCAATGGCAGCCAGCAGCTTCTTCCTGATCACTTCCTTCACCATAGTTGTGTTCCTCGCCATGACAATTCAGTGCCAAGGTACGTCAGCAGCAGCTCATCCTGTCTCATGAGCTATGCCCTCGCCGACAAGGGCCTGTGTGAGCACACTGCAGGGTGGGCAGGGAGACAATCACACTCGAAGGTAAAAATATAAAATACATGTTTTTAGCAACAATTAAAATGAACTATTTATATTCTCTCTATATAATATATTAATATTTGATATACCTTTCCTTAGTGTGAAGTGATAGTTTTACAGCTATATATGTGAGACTGCATAGAGAAACTCAGGTATTTGCCTCCACCCTCCACTGATGAAAACCCACATACAGTGAAGAGTAGCGCCTCGGTTATAAGCCCCCGTCCTTTGGATGAGACGTCCAACCAAGGTCTTAACTAAAAAAGATTTCATGGCACTGGTTGTAAGAGTAAGAGCATTAACCCTCATGTATTGGCATTCCACACTGGATGTGCTCAATCTGGCCTGCCTACATTTCGCTCTAGATTAGTGGAATGATTTCTCACTGCTTCCTTGGACATACAGTGAAGTGGGGTCACTGGCGCAGAAGTGCTCACCAGGTTCATCAGGTGGGTCCTTCACCTCAGAGGTGTACTCTATGATGAGGGTGACGTTCTATATGTGAAATCCTTTGGATGAAAAGTGCCAGAAAAGTCAATAAACTATTGTTATAACGGTGTGATAAATGAGCACAGAAACGTGCGTCTGCTACTGAAGTACTGTACGGTATGACCATTTGAGCTGCACCAAATACAACTGGATATATTTCCTGATTAAGATATTCAAGTGGTCTGTGGTCTGAAATTGCACAGCCTGATGCTGATGTGTGATTCCTGAGGCTAATTTTAATTTTTACCCTATGTCTTACAAAATCCTTACAGAACTTTGTCACAGCAAAGAAAGTTACAGCAGTGTCTTGTGTTACTTTAACAAATCAGAAGACTTCATGCAAGAAATAAATGTACTTTTGCAAAGTGCTCAGTTGCTTGATTTTAAATAAAACTCAAAGAATTATGGGCTTAATTGCAACTAAAATATATGTCTGGTTTTATAAAGTTTCTACAGTAAGTTGTTTTGAAGATAACTAGAAATCTCTTGCTGTTTCTAAGAGCTGATATCAGCAAAAAAAAATCTGAGACAGTTATAAATTCAATTAAGGGCTTGATTAAGCTACTGAGAAGTCTCCCATACCAAAACCCAGAGTGTTTTGCACACCAGAGTGAAAGGAATTTGAAGAATTCATAAGTTGTGAATCAACATAAAGGTTCTCTATATAGTTATGTAAGTTATGTAATTAAGTTATAAATTTAGAAAGCTTTAGTCTTTTGTTTGAGAAAAAGTAACAAGGAATATGAAAATACACACAAATAAATGACACGAAAGTATTAGAAGATAAGAACATAATAAGAGTTTCTAACAAGAGGAGGCCACTCAGCACGTTTGGAAGTAACTAATTGATCCGGAGATCTCATCCAGTCACTTTTTGAAAGAGGCCAGGGTGTAGCTTTAACAATTTGGCTGGATAGTCTGTGCCAGACTCCCACAACCCTTTGTGTAAAGAAGTGTCTCCTGTCTCCTGTTTTACAGGCACTTCCACATAGTTTCCATGTCTGAGCTTGTCATAAGTAAACAATTGTAAGTGAATGGTGTAATACAGAAACATTGAGATCTCTGAGAAATGTCTCTTTTCTATAGACATTTCGCCTATAGAAAAAAAAACCCAACACAGTATTACAGTATCACAGGCCTGAAAGTGTCAGCTGCATGGGAGAATCTCCACCTGTGCTTTTTTCAGGCTGCCAAATGTCTTTTCCTTTTGCAGAACAATCCTTTGTGGAGGAATTTGTGGAGGAAAACAGTTTATGATTATGACCACAAGAGTAGAGATTTTGTCTTCAGTTGAATTTTTTACCTTCATTTTAAAAGAAAGGATGCCAGACTCCAATCAGCCTAAACCTGCCTGGGAGGCCAGGTCAGGACAGCACAAGTTTACACAGTTTGGTGTGAAACACCAAAAATGTTATTGTTTTAAAAAATCAAGTGCAGACATGGTCAGTGTGTACAATTACACAACTTTTATATAAAAAGATCTCAAACTGTAGCTTATCTGCACACAGAAGGTTTGAGTTGCTCTTATTTAACTTTGCTGTTTTGTTTTTCCTCCCACGAGAGGTTAATTGTTCCTATGTGCTTTCATTGTACATTGAGAGGAACTCGCCTTACGAATGCAAATGATTTTTTCCGTTTCAGAGTATTTTATTAAAATGTGTCTGGCAGTGCTCCAAATCAATCCTCCTGCATTAAGACTTGAGCTACTGTCATAATAAATGTGCAACATATCTGTCTAATGGAAAAAAATGTCTACATAAAGACGTTTCTTGAGACAATGTTTTAATTATTTTGATGGGTTTACATACGGTATTTATGCTATTGCAAATCAAGGTTTGTGACTTTGCTTTGGTGCAATTTTGTTGTACTACAGTTGAAATACATTTATAATTGCACCCCAGAAACAGGGAAGCATGCTATTTAGGTTATGACTTTATTTGATATTTTCATTGACATGGTAGAGTGTGTGCTAGCACTGCTGTCTACAGCCCAGGGACCAAGGTTTAGATACAGTCGGGCATCGGTCTGTGTGGAGTCTATATACAGTAGTCGTACCAATGTTTGCAGTCTAAACTACTGTATAAGGTCTGGTGCTATCAATCAGAACACTCTATCATTGTTTGAGGGAAATACTTATATCTGTGGTGAACGTAAGAGCACAGCAGGGGCCTCACTTTCATCTGCAGAAGAGCAACAGGTGGAGAAATACTGTTTTCTCTCACATAGGACGTCCAGTAATTTCACATTGTCTGAGGCAGGAGATAGAAAATACTGTGGCGTTTGCAGATGCTGTTCTGCCAAAGATGGGGGAGTACATTTGGATGCCTTCCATGGAATGCTTACTCGGTATTTTCAGAATTGCTGGCTTAAGGCACTTTGACAGTCTTATGACTGATTCTTTTCCATCGCAATAACTGACACTGTAAAAACAACCACAATATCGAGACAAAAAGCATTGAACGTTATTGTGTAGTGCTTTTGGGTCAACCAGATCTACTAAAAAAACCATGAGTATGGTGATCGCCTTCCCGATAACATAACATCCCCCTCACCTCAGTCGAAGAAAGTGAAAATGAAGTGAGGACAATCAAGCAAGCTGACAAAAACTGTATAAAATATAATAGTGAATATAGGTCGCTCAGGACACCCGTAATGTCCATCCTATGATTATTTCAGTGATTTCTATGATGTTATGAGAGCAAGTGTTTATTGTAATTTAGCTGGGTCAGTTGGATTTGCATCCATACTCTTTCAAATATGACCAGATTCTGTTTAATGAACTTAAATTGCTTTGGTTTATTGTCCAATCATAGATGATGAAATCAGACCTTTTCCAAGCTTTGATTCACTTCACGTAGTTTGAGGCTTGAGCTGTTGAAATTTCAGTTCATATTTTTCACAGACATTTGGTTACTAATATCTTTGAAAACAAAGTTGCGTTCATATCAATTGCAGTTTACTCCTGGGAGGCATGCAAAGATCAGTTAGTCCTTGGGATGAAGGAAATGTGGAAATGAAGATTGGCAGAGTCAAAGTGTGTTTATCACAGAGGTGGAAAAATACACGGCACATTTTTTGCTTTTGTGGTGCTCTTGGAGTAATATTATTTGATTGCTACATACAGAACCTTCTCACATGTAAATAAGTGTTTAGCAGCTGTATTGGTGCTCATGATAATTTGGAAGGTTTCAGTATAAATGTAAAATATATATATTGTATGAAGCATTGATTAAGATGATTTATATAAAGGAAAATTTGGACATTTTTCTTATTTATGGATGCCTTTTGCCTTAAAACATCCGAATCCCTGTAAGTTTGATATATGAGGATTCTAGTCATGCCTGGGTTTGAAATGGAATTATTGTTACCCTTTCAGACAAAGACACAATTAAAGAAGCCGTTTCCTTTCATTTGCCGCCAGTGTGCTATTAACACACACTCAGCACTGTGTAATGGTTCCAGGAAAAATGAAAGCTGAAGCTACTGATGTCTCACAAATGGACAAGACACAACAGTTCATTCATACTCCCTCTGTCTGCTTCGGTCAGTTTGCCACTGCATCTTACTTCTCCCTAACCTTTCCACAAATATATTTCCTGTGCGGACTTCTTCATGATTATTAATTTACAGCAGAACAAAACATGACCTTGACAAGGCACCCAGCTGGATGGCTGCTGTTGATGATCACTAGGCCACAAGAGCTGTACGTGAAAGGGGGAGATTGTTGCTCTTGGGCACAGGGAGCAACAACTGGAAATATTGCAAATGAGCTGCAAACAACGATGGGATTGACTTTTTTTTCCTGGGTAGAACAGTGGAACTTTCTGCTTCCAAGACTTTGCCCCAAGGATTTCACAAAAAAAGCCTCAGAGGGCTTTGATTTTTTATCTATTTTTGCCGACTTACTTGCTCCTTCGGCTCTTTGAACTGAAATGCAGATCTCTCGCTTACGCCATCTTTCCACTTTGACCTCACATGGAACACGGCCTCTCACTCCCACAGATCTGCGCCTTGACGGCAGCAATGACTGCTTACCTTTGACAAGCAGGGCTGTATTACGTCCCAGTGATGGACTGGCGCCCTGTCTAGGGTGTACCCTGCCTTGTGGGTAGGCTCCGGCTTCCCGCGACACCGTACGGTATAAAGAGGTTTGATAAATGACATGACGTGATGATATGGCAAGAATGAATGAATCTTGATGAATCGTTAAAGAGGATCTTTGAGTATGGTGCTCTACAGTATGTAATCTAAATAACAATTCTAATTAACAAAAAGAAAAAACTTACCAAACTACCAAACCAACAACCCAAAAGCATTAAACTAAGTCAATAAGCAAATGCACAGAACAAGTAAACAGACAATAAGAAAGGAAAGGAAAGCAAAAAAGACAAAAGGAGAGATGGAAACCTAAAATCCTAAAACTGTATCACTATTACTATTGTCATGTAATGCACACATATTTGAACATATTTGAATGTGTGCCTGAAATATACACAGAATATCTGAAATGATAATAATTTAAATGCTGTTTCTTTTATGTGTAATTTGGCATTGCATTTTGCAAATGTATTCCAACATACATTTGTTGAATTATAATATTGAAGTGGGTGTCTTTCAAGATGGGGTTCTCTCTTTTCCATGTGTCCTCTCACTCTGCGTCAGCACGGCACTGGGTCACCCAGTATCCTTCATCCTACCCCCACATACAGTATGCCCCCCACATATCTGGGGGGCATTGTAGCGCAGCTGCCCTGACATAGCTGGGTTACCTGGGCATGTGTACTCCTCATGATGTATGCCTGTCTGACATGGGGCACAGGGAGGCGAGGCAGGTGGTACAAGGCAGTGCCTGCTCTGCAGAGAGGGGAGGCTCTCCCGCTGCCTGTTGTTAATTACCCTTCTCCATGCTGCACTCAGAGCTCCACCGCTGTCCGCCCGGCGCACAGAAGCACACATACAGTGGTGCATAGTCAAGACCATACATTTGTCAAGACCGCCACTGTCCAGCTACACCGCCTGCCTCAATTGCCCTTCACCTGCTTCTGCCTTTGTGAATGCAGCATTGTATTATACCAACTGCCCATCTCCCTGTCCATCTGTCTTCTGGTTGGTCAGGGTCCTGAACCGGACCTGGTGTATTTCTGATGCACAGTCTAGCTCATTCAATGCGCAGCCCACGCTTTAACTGTTGTGGGACACTCAGTACTCCGATTCCTGTTCTCTGCTGAGGCAGAAGAGAAGGAAAGGGATTATATCATGCTGACCAATAATACATATTGTGTTAGTTCCTATACTTTGTTTAAATCTAAATAAAGGCAAAACTGTAGTAATAACGCCAGTAAACTGTACTGTATCTACAAGCTGTGTGTACATTTTCTTACATTATATTTTGAAGTACATGCAGTTTAGTACATAATGGGAAGGCTAGAGCTCACACAGTAAAGGATGGAGGGGTAGTAATTGTTTATTCCTGACTGTCCGAAATGTGTGGCTCAGGTCTGGTGTGCTCTTTCCCAGGGAGGCTGAAGCTGACTGTGCTATCGGAAGACCGCCTGCAGATGAAGTGGAAGGAGGCGGAGGGACCAGTTCAGGGCTACAGGGTCCGAGTGAAGCCGCTATCAGGTAGGAGATGAGGTGGATGGAGGGAGAGACTTCACCAGGCTTCACCAGAGGGTCTGCTCACTTGTGCCCTTCACCCAGGACCAGTGACCAAAGGAGCTGTCTGTGATCAAAGATCATACAAAATAAACCTTGAGTTTAGTGTGTCTTTGGACACTGCAGTGGGCACAATGTGTCAGAAATTGTCCATAAAAGCAACTCCCCTTTTCTGAGAAACCAGGGAAGACAGGGAGGAACATTGATTGGACCAATTTCTTGTGGCAAAGGGGCATTACAGAGATATTTAGCAGCATGCTCATACAAGAACCTAATAGTTTTGAACTGCAATTCACTATAGTTCAGGTCTGAACTGAACTCTCCCTTTAAAGAGTTTACACGGAAAAGCCGAATGGGGAAGGACAGATATGGATTTTTTCTTTTATTTTCTGATTTTCTTGCAGTTGTCATTTTCTACCACATACAAAAGAAAATCCTTTAAATACATCTTACGTCAAGCTATGAGTCATGTCAACACAAGGAAGAGCAGGACCCTGTCATTGACATGCATTTACCTCAGAATAAAGAACTGCTCCAGTGCTGTTCAGAAAGAATTCAAAAACCAACTAATGCTACCATCACTGCATTTTGGGCATGTTCAAATCAAATCAGGGTATTTTATAATCAGATATTCAAATATTGGATCATCAGTTTCCACTCGCGATTCCTAGCTACACGCCCTGCAACCATAGACAGCGAGTGCATTCCTCTGACTTGGCCCACCTTCGAGCTCTTTATCTTTAAACACTCCTCAGACTGTACAGCCCTGGACGAGAGATCTGGCCCCTGCCTACAGCGGGACGCCTGTGAAGTCACAGGGAGCACTCTCGCTGAGAGCAGAAAGAGCCAGGACTAATCCAGAACCTGCCCTGGGCAGCTTTCAGCTACCTGTGCACTGCCAGCTTGGGAAGCTCAACGCTCTATGAATGTTTGAGTTTGAAGAGCTGGCCTTTATGTTGTTAAATGCAGTGACCCTCTCTAATTCCACCTTGCACTGCAAGCGGAGCTGTGCCCCAGAGTAGTTCCCTGCCCTTGCAGTCTAAAGTGCTGTGCGCTTTCCCACTCTGAGGGAACACCATGAAGGATGTTTCATATGCCCTACAGATGCATCTCGGGATCCATCACTACTGTGGTGGGTAGAAGGACTGTACACTTAGCTGACGTGAGACTTAGCTCTTCCCCACGGTGATGGAAATCCAGCACTGCAGGATTATTTAGATGTTACAGAGTGGCTCAGCGGAAAGACAGCTCACTTCTTGTAGAGGCAGGAGGGATTAATCATGGCGAAACAGAAGGGTAGGGTTCAAACGGAGAAGCTTGGATCAGGGCTGATTAAAAATAGCACAACATGCGTTTTACTTGTTTTATTTTTTTAACTTGTTTCTTTTTTTTGCTAAGAGCTACGACTGGAAGCCATTCCATTCCCCTACCCCTCACCTCCAGTGAGACAGACAAGGTTTCCTGAAATTCTTTCCCCATTGAGTCAGCTCCAAACTGCTCTGTGACCCGCAGGTGGTGTGAGCGAGCAGCCTCTCTTGTGGGGGAATGACGATTGATAGGCACGCAGCCAGTTTCCCAGTACCTCAGCCCTGTCTGGGCAGGCCTGAGCCCAGCCTTCCAGGGAGACAGAGGGAAGAAAAGCACAGGCCTCCAAACCACTTCAAAAACAGGCTTAATCTTAAAAACTGGATCTTTAAAACATCCCTTAAGCAGCAATACTATACAACAGAAGTAACTAATTAAGTACATATATATACTTAATTATTGATAACTGTTGTGGGAGTATAGTCTTGCAGATTCAGTTTCTGTTGAGCTCAGTAAGTACAGCAACATGAGCAGGGTCTCCCCTGCAGCATAGACACACTGCAAGGGTTTCCCAGCTCTTATGTTTGTCCTGTTTTATGATGTGTTTGTGAATGTTTGTTCCATCTTTTCATATGTGACGAAAGTTGAATTCACACTGTGAGTGTTGATCTTGTCTTTAGATGTGACACATAACACCTTGTAGAAAGAAATAAATTACTACAGCTGTTAAAGCTGGTCAGCTTTCTTCTGTCTTACTATACATTTGGGTAAAGGCAAACCAGGATTTACTCTAATTCCTTCCACAATGCAGTTAAGCCTTGTAGTGCTGGATATGTACAATACATAAATGTTTCACTTCAATAACAAAATAGTAATTAGAGATAACTAAATTAGAAATGTACATTATAATTTCTTATGATATCAATTAATTATGAATAGCAGCTTGTCATTCATGACATATACATCTACCTGTAGACTTTTTTTGTCAGTTACCAAGGGACAGCATAATAGATGTTTTGGAGTTCTTCACTAATATTTTGTCAGTCAATGCTGTATTTAATTATTTTCAGATGATTTTCAGACTTGTTCTCGCCTCTTTACCTTTCAGCATTTGTCTACTGTAGCCGGGGTCACTTTGCAGAGCAAAGAAAAACCAATAGTGTTTATAATGTTAAAGTTATCAGGCACGGATAGCAGTTTATAGCTACTGCTTATTGTTAAAAAGCAACATAACTCTGAACGGAAGGCTAAAAAGCTCATAAGCTAAACAGAATTAGATGTTTTTTTATGATTATGCATTCTCTCATTCTGAAATGGTCACAGCTAATCAATTGTCACATTACCCATGATCCACAGGAACTTTTGCTTGCTCTTAAAAACACCATAACCCTGAAAGTTGTTCCTTATAATAATTATGCATGAGCCCATTTCACTGGTCAAAGTATAGCTATGCCATGCTCATGAGCAAAAATGAGAGTAACACATCTGTCTGTGCCTCCTGACTTTGACTTAATATGCATGAAGCAGACTTAACTCTAGGCTGTTTCTGCTTTCTAGTGCTGTGAAATGGTGAGAGCAAATTAGTATTCGTCCAAGGAGTCTTCAATAGCAGCTTAGTCCAATGCAGGACTGCAGAGAGCTTTTCATAAGCTCTTTTCACAATTCCATATGCTGTACCATATTTTACTGAAAGAACTGCTGTTCTTTAGATTCTGAATGAGTTCCTGTGCATCTTTCATGCTCCCCCCTCTGTCACTGTCACATGGATCTGTGGCGACAGGCAAAATTATGGCAGGGAGATGTTACAGTGAGAGTGAGATCAAAAGGAAAGGGAAGTTCAAAGCACACAAACAAACATTATTAGCACAAATTAGCATGGTGGCTGCCTAGGAAAGTAAGATGTTTCTCGTGGTTTCTTTTAGCAGTTATATACAGTAGGCTTGCAGTTAAGTTAGAACAAATTCCACCGACACTTTACATTCAGGAAAATAAGAATGCTAACACAAATCCCTGATCAAAACTGGGATGAATTAGTAACAGACTTAATGATCTGTCCACTGAGGGGGTTGGACAAGCAAGTCAGACTCCCTGCTTGAGCCAGCTGTCTTGTTGAGCCACTGTTTAACCAGCCTCTGAAGAAAGAGTCCTCTGAAGAACGCCTTGTACTGCGGACCCAGACCCTGTGCCGAAAACAGATCTGCTTGTTCCCAGGATGCTTGTATGACTGCACGACACAGACCGAGTCATCTCCTGTTTGTTCTTTTTCTTTGCCCCCCATGTTGGCCCTTTGAAAGCTGAGACAGAGCACGAGATGATGCTGACGACCAGCAGCGCAAAGGCCACTGTGGCCGGCCTCGTCGCCGCGCAGGAGTACACGCTGCAGATATTCCTGCTCAACGGCACCCAGGAGCGCCTCTTTGCCAAGCGCAGCTTCACCAGTAAGGCCAAAGCTCAGCACCAACCTTTATCCATCCTTCCTTCTATCTCTATTCAAACCTCTTTATCCAGTAAGAGCGCCAAAGCCTCGTTATTCTCGTTAACCTCGGCAAGCTGGCGGAGTACAGCCTGAACGGGATGCCAGTCCATTGAAGGGCACACACACGGAGACAGTCACCCCAGGGCCAGATTCTGCCAGAAGCCAATTAACCTCCCAGTATGGTTTTAGACTGTGGGAGAATAGGGGAGCACCCGGAGGAAAACCACGCAAATGCAGGGAGAATGTCCAAACTCGCCTCAGGTAG